TTTAGCATATATGCAGAGCACATCATGAACTTTTGAGCTGTGGTATTGGAGAAGACTCTTGAGAGTCCCTTGGACTGCAAGGAGATCCAACCATTCCATCCTAAGGGAGATCAGTCCAGGGTGTTCATTGGAAGGACTGATGAAGCTGAAACTCCAATAGTTTGGCCACCTGATGCAAAGGGCTGACTCATTTGAAAAGACCCTGATGTTGGGAAAGATTGAGGGCAGGAGGAGAAGGGGATGACGGAGGATGAGATGGCTGGATGGCATCATTGACTCAATAGACATGGGTTTGGGAGGACTCCGGCAGTTGGTGATGGACAGGGACGCCTGGCGTGCTCCTGTTCATGGGGTCACAAAGAGTCAGACACGACTGAGCAACTGAACTGAACTGAACTGAACTATACCCCTTCTTCTCCCAAGAAAGGATATAAGGAGGCCACATTTAACTTGGAAACTACCATAAATATATAATGAGATGGAGTTCTGTGTCCTCTCTCTTGATGTCTGGAAGGTCACTTTTCCTTGCCTGGTAATACAGTGCACCACAGAACCCCTCTTCCTCCCACTCTGCCTGGCTCACTTTGGGGGCAGTGCTGGGCTGACTGTCCTTGTCTTAGTCATTAGAGACATGGGCCAGGCTCAAATTCTTTATTCCACATACTAGCTTTGTGGCCTGGGGCAAGGTACATAATCTCTGAACCCACATTCTGTCTTTAACATAGGGATAATACTTGCAGTTATCTTATAGGAATGTTCACAGTATTAATGAGTTATTATACACAGAAACTTATAAAAATTCCTTCCAGGTAGCAAGCACTAGCCGTTGTTATTCTCAACTAGCCATAGTTGAAAACCCTTCTGTTCTCAACTAAGATGCTGTTTCTTCAAAGACTCTTCCCTGAGACAACACCTTAAGCCAGTGATATATGGCTATAAGAGCTTACACTTTGCCTTATGAGTCTTATCATCATTTCTATTGGTACTGAAGGCAATTAATCTGTTTCTCCTGTGAAGCTGTAAACTCCAGAAAGGCTGTTATATGTCTGCCTCAACACCCTATTTCTGACATTTGGGACAGAGCCCAACACAAGTATGTCACTCAGTTACTGTTGAATGAGTGAATCCAGGGAGCCTGTCTGTAAACATGCTAATTGAGATGAGATTACATGTAATTATCTTGTTAGTTTTGCAAATTTTTATTTTCTAATTTTTACAATTAATGTGTGTTTTCTTTATGTAACAAAGTAAAATTCTGTTAGACCTCAGTTACTGTGCTATTGTGAAGTCACTGCAGTGAGGTAGCCTAGGGAGCCAGCCGTAGGATGGAATTCATGTCACCAAACTTGGGTTTAGCTGCTCACTGCTCAAAAGACAGGACAGAAACAGATGTTGGTTAGAAAAAGGAAGGCTGCTTTATTCAGGAGGCCAGCAACCTGGGGAGAAGGCAGACTCATGTCCCAAAACCCTGAAGATTTTGCTTGCTCGTGAACATTCTTAAAAGGAAAATGGCAAAGTATCTCAGTTAATCACTGAGGCAGGAGACCAGACTTATCATCTCCCACAGTGCGCAGCCGTGTTGACTCCTTGCGATCCTTCCTTAAATGCTAACTTGTTCACACCCTCTTCTCATGATCTTCCTAAAGGGGGAGCTGGGGAAAAGGTCCAGTCATCTATTAATTACTTATTCTTCATTTCTACTTCTTTAAGAAAAGAATCAACAGATTAGGCAAGGAATTATGTGATCAAAAGATACAAAAAGTGTGATTGGGCGAGAGGTTGGTTGAGCAAGGGGGCATCTGGTGTAAGGGTTAGTTAAAATATTGCTTTGCAAGAAATCTCCACACTGTTTTCCATAGTGGCTGTACTAATTTGCATTCCCACCAACAGTGTAAGAGGGTTCCCTTTTCTCCACACCCTCTCCAGCATTTATTGCTTGTAGACTTTTGGATAG